AGTCAGTATGGAGATACCTCAATGAACTAGAACTGGAAGTCCCATTTGACTGAGCTATTCCCCTGCTGGGTATCTTCCCCAAAGAATTAAAAGAATCATACCACAGTGATATATGTGCACCCATGTTCATAGCAGCACAGTTTGTAATAGCTAAAACTTGGAAACAGCCCAAATGCCCATCAACTGGAGACTGGATCAAGAAAATGTGTTTTTTTTATAAAATGGAGTACTACTCAGCCATCAAAAATGAGAAATTAGAGGCATTTATTGCTAAATGGATGCACATTGAGGTGATACTCTTAGGTGAAATAAATAGGACACACGTGTAAATACCAAATAGTTTCTCTAGTGTGAGAAACTGAAAGTATAAATAAGGACTAAACGGTATAATAGATAATGTGAAATAGGAAGAAAAGGGGCAAAGGGGAGGGGGAAGTGGGAGGGGTAGGGGAAAGGAAAGAAGGGAATGGAATTAATATGAGAAAATGAAAAAATGGAAACAAAGTCTTTGTAAATAGGGATTGATGGAGGGGTTAGAGGGAGGGCAGGGGAATGGGGAAAAAATAAGAATCAAGAGAGTATGTAAAGGTGCATATCTCCAAGGATGAATGTCATTATATTGCACACCTAAAATGTACGAATAAAAGGATATACAAAAAAAAGAATGGAATAAAGAAGACTCATTGAGCTACTGTAATAAGCAGTCCAGTTGAGAGAAAAGGGTGAGCTTTGGAAACAACTTTAATAGGAGTTGCTGATGAGATAAATGTAGGTATAAAGGGAAAGGGAACAATTAAAGATGTCTTCTAGATTTGAGGCTTAGGTACTTGTTGAAGCATAAAATAAATAAAATAAAACCCAAAACAAAAAATCCCTAAAACAAAAAAATAACAAATTTCTTTTACAGTGGGAATTGTGGTTTGTTTTGAGATCATCTTGCTATTGATACACTTTTAAGACAACTAAGAAGAGCTATGTAGACTGATTCTGTATCTATAAGTCTGAGGTCTGGAAGAGTCTGGAGATTGTAGATCTTGGATCAGTTCCATATATACTTATTTCAAGTTGTTGGTCAAGATGAGGTCACTTAAGGAAAAGAAGTTGGTCTAAGGTGGAAGCCATGGACATTCTAACACTTCAATCCTGTGGAGAAAGAGGCAGCAATGATTCAGAAACTTGAAGAAAGTCAGGAGTCTGTGATCTCACCAAAGAGAAGAAAATACCTTTGAAAGAAAGAATTGGGAATTCAGAACATCCTGATGTCTCTTAAGATTACAACTTCCTCTTCAACCTCTTTTTCATCTCCCTGTTTACTTTCCCATGAGCCAACTCTTGGACTTAAACCTCAAATTGGAGGTGAGCTTTTAATCCCTCTCTTGCTTGTAACCTGGGGCTCACTGACTAGTTTCCATTTCTTCATTCTATTGGCAGTTCAGCTTAGGCTCTGCTCCTACCCCCACTCCCAACAACCAAGTTAGTCCTTGTGGGCAGTACCTCACAGCTGAGAGGGCATCTTAAGGATGGTCTCAGGAGAAGATGATGAGAGTGAAAGTGAAGCAATCAGCCTCAGGGAGAAAATTCTGCTATGGGATAATGCTCCTTTCCAGATATCTACATGAGGGCTGGTGCCTTAAAGTTCTTTTTTCAGCTAATATTTAGAGACAGTCATTGAAATAACTTCAGGAAGAGTGAAGAGAAATGCACCCTTTCATTGGGAAAAAATGAGAATGTTAAAAAATGTGTTTGCAATCCACAAGTAGACAAGGGAGGAATCAGAATAATGTTTGAGGACAATGGACTCTTATGCCTCCCAGAACCTATATGCACACATGTTAAAATCTTAGATTTTTTTTCAGTAGTACTTGGAATTGAACCCTGGATATTTGCACTGAGCTGTATCCCAGCCCCACCCCCTTTTAAATTTTGAGATAGGATTTTGCTAATTTACTTAAGTTACCCAGGCTAGGTTCAAACTTATTATACACCTGCCTCAGCCTCCCAGAGTACTGAGAAAACAGGCATGGATCAGCATGCCCAGCTAGCTTTTTTTTGTTGTACAGCAACTTACCCCCAAACTTAGAGGCTTTACAATCTTGTACATTCTGTCAAAAATTCAGAAGCAGCTTAGCTAGGTAATTTTGGATCAAAGTTTCTAATGAGGTGATAAATAAGCTGTCAGCCCAGGATTCTAGTAATCTGATGCAGGGCTAGAGGACCCACTTTCAAGATGGCTGCTTTGCATGGCTATTGGTGGGCAGCCTACATTTCTACCCTTGTGGATCAGGGTCATTTGAGCATGCTCGCAGTATGGCATTGATTTCCCTGAAAGTACAAAGTCCAAGAGAAAAAAACCAAAGGGGGCCCAGTGCCCTTCATGACCTGCCTTGGAAGTTTAACACTATCATTTTCACTACATTCTGTTCATTAGAAGTCATTAAATTCAGCCAAGAGTCCAGGTGAAGGGAATGAGGCTCCATTTTTTGAAGGAAGGTGTATCACAGAACTTGTGGACATCCTTTGAAACCATCATAATGGCTGTAATTAGAAGTTGAAGTAATGTGCCTTGTTAAATCAGTCTGATTGGAAATAATGGGAATGGATTGGGTTTTTGGAATGAAGTACAAGAAGTTTTTAGCAACTATTGAGAGTAAGTGTTCATGACAATGTATGGAGAGAAGTAAGGCTGAAAAGGGACTAATTTTGTGGCAGAGAAGACCAATCTTTATCCTTTGCTCTAGAAGAAGCAAACCTACAAAGAGCCATTACCGGCATGAAAAAGAATATTGTGCTTTTAACCAGACACCAGCCTGTAAGAAAGAGTTCTCTGCCCTAGAGAATATACAGTGTTAGGCATTAGGAGGAATTAATGGGCTGACAAGCCTAAAATATGGTTAATTATAATAAAAGTTAGCGAGAAGAAGCCCAGAACTTGAACTCCATAGCAAATATGCAGTTCTAATCCTTCCCTCCTGCCTCCTCCCTTTAAGATTTAATACTTGGCAAAGGAAAGGTCGCCTGACAATATTTATTAGCTCGTTACTCTAAGTGTTTTTATTACCACAGAGGAGATTTCCTATAACAATTCTGCTCTACAAGCTACACTACAGGTGTCTCTCTACTGTGTAAATGAAATGGTAAGCACAAGCTCTCTCCTGGCATTCAAAATCTATAACTAAACACTACTTTTTCTGCAGCCAATGAAAAGGAATATGACCAGCGAGGGTTGGCTGGCTAACTAACATGAGGCCGACCAGATCAATGTCAGTGCTGCTGGAACATAAATGGCACTTCTAGTGTGGTGAGCTGAGGCTCTAGTCCCCTGCTCAGACCTCAACTTCCTGGAGAAGGGGAAAAGAATTATACACTAAGTGGCAAAATTATATATACTGTTTAATTAAATTCTCCCAACAGTTTTATTACACATGAAAGGAATTTTTACCACTATTAAACAAGATTAGGAAACTGAGTCTCAGAAAAGTTAATATAGTCAACCACACAGCTGTTTTATGGGGAATCTGGGATTGAAGATTAAATCTGTTTTTAAAAATACATAATATTCTATGTTAAAAATAGTATAGTATTCTCAATAATTACCCAGTTCTCATTTGCTTTCTAAAAATTCTGAGCTTGGGTTTAGATAGCTCAGTAGCAGCAATAGACTATAAAGTCAGTGGATTTATGATGGAAAAAAAGATTTATTTTCTTGGAATTAGACATTGACCCTTTAACCAAGATATCTTTTAATTGATTATTTTAAAATATAAAGGATTTATGTTTTTGGAAACCTATAAGCCAGCAAACTCTAAATGGTAGTGACATGATGCTCTTGTACTGAAAATACTGGGTAATTTTATTTATCCATTCACTACATTCACAGCCTATCCTTAGTTTGACTAAGTCCTAATCATTCTTTAAAACTCAAGAGCTAATTTTGCTGAGAAAGCTACCTTTCATCTACTAATATCATATTCAATCTCCTTTGTATCAATCACCCTATACTTTTTTTTCATAGGTTTCTTTGTCCAACTACATGTGCTACTTCTGTGAGGGCAGGGATATGACCTCTCATCTTTGTGTTCTCAGTGCCCACCCTGATGGCTTCTACTTAGTGAGTTCTCAAGTTAATTGTTGAATAAATCATTAGTAAATATGATTAGATAATTTTTTTTTTTGGTACCAGGGATACAACTCGGGACCTTGCACACTTGAGAGTCAGGTGCCGGAACCACTGAGCTAAATCTCCGGCCCGATTAGATAATTATTAAGCACCTACAAAGTGTTCCAATATTTTACATCCCATCTAATGTGTGCTATTGTTTTGGTGGTACTTGAATCCAGAATTCTTGGCATGATGCCCAAAATAGAACACTAGAAGATAAATATTATAAAAGAGCAAATCATTCTCCCCTTCTTACCTTTGTGACCTCCCCCCCCCCCGCCAAACACACATTCATTTCTACCTTTCCTCAGATCAGTGGCTCAGTTAAACATTCCATTGCTTTGCTCTGAGATGGACATCTGAAATTTCAATGGACATTGCCTCTATATGACATCTATACATAACTAGGGCCCTTGAAAACTTTTAAACTGCTTTCATTATAAGAGAGATTTGCCAGCATTTTGGATCTATCCCATAGGACACAGAATCTAGGGCTTATATTCTTACGAATTGAGGATAAAGTATTCAGTAGGAGAGTTTGATAAACCATGACAGCTTACTGGTTAAACTTTCCATCATTTTTGAGCTTTATAGTTAATGCTTATTTAGGATAAATTCAATCATTCCAGAAGGTGAGACTGCAATATATTTAAATAGAACCATCACAGAATGTTAAATCAGAAAGACTTTTCCAGGGTTTTGATTTTATATGATAACTGAATTCCCCACGTATCCTATTTTTATTTGAATGTTATGGAATCATTTTTTCTTTAAAAAAACATTAAGTATTATTTAACTTTTCTCTATTAATGGAGTCTCAGAAAAGAATGTTTCTGTTTGCTTTATTCCACTTCTGTAATCAAAGAGGCTCTTAAGAGTCCATATGAATAGGAAGGAAAATGATTGTTTTTTCAGAACCACCCTGAGATTGGTGGGGATGGTAGAAAAGAGGGGAGGAAGCAAGGTGTTAATGATGTTAGAGTGGCTCTTCAGGGGAAAGCATTTATTTTACAGGTTTCAGGAGAATTATGGAGTTAATTAATACTGGCAGTCACACACATTTTGTGCAGGGAGTACTTTAAACAGAAACTGACTAGATGCCAACAGATGTGAAAGTAATAGTCCTTTGGATTTAAAATGCTGTCTCCATTTATGCAAGGGAGAACCAAGAGTTGTTCTTGTTCAGTGGATATTCAGTACCAGCAGCTAGAGTTTTATAAATTACCAGCCCTTATTTTTTTCCTTCAGAGATCATGCCTTAGATCTCCTGTAGAATTTTTCTTCCTTTCTGAAGCAACGTCCCCTATAGCCAGAACAACCATATGTCTTAGAGTTTTGAGAACAGTTCTGATTTAAAATAATCTATCCTGTTGCACACCCCCTACATGTTAAATGGTGTGACCAATTTGAGGTTCAGAAAGCACGGTCACCACAGATTCAGCCATTCCAGATGAGGCTTGCATTCCATCAGCTCTCAGACGATTTGATCATCTCGTGCTTGCTGAGCACCCCCTCCGGCTTGGACCCCACACAGTATTGTTCACTAGCAGAAGAAACAAGAAGGGCATTACTTCCTTGCAATAGTATAGAAATACTTTCTGTACAATTTTTAAAGTACAGAAAACATTTTTTTAGCTACACATTGCATATTGGAGAAAAGTTAGAAAATATAACCAAGCACGCAAACTAAATAACAGCCCAATACTATAGACTAGAATTACAGTTAAATATTGCGATATATACAGAGTCCGCCAAAACTGTATACACACAATAAATATCTGGAAGCTTATGGCCATCACTTTGAGCACCTCTTATAATTGTAGAGGTCAAAGGCAACTTGTATTCTCATGATGTCTCAGAAGATTTGGTATTAAAATATTCATACAAATTTTTCTTTTCCTGATGTATACATTTTTGGTGAACTTTATTATACATTTGATATTCCTGTTTTAACAAAAAAATGTCCCAATGTCCCTGTATAGGTCTGTCATAATTTAGCAATATATTGTGAATGCTTTTTACATCATTAAGTATACCCTAAAATTACCATTTTAAGCCCTACCTAGAGCTCTGTAGTAAGGATATGCAATAAATTGCTTAAAGCCCTTAGATGTTATAATGCTGAGAAAAGGCACAATTTTCTTTATGTAACATGTTTGGGTGGTGATAGGGAACTTGGTCCTGCAGAAATCTGCAGATCTGCTGAAAGCTGCTAGGAATGACAATTTGCTGTACTGTAAATGGTCTAGTCTTATATGCGCAAACACATCAGGGACATGCTAGTGATTCCACTTCAACCCTTGCTATCATTTGCTACTGCCATCTTCTGTGTCTCCCAAGGACTCTCTGTTGTCCAGACCAACCTTCTTGATCATCTGATTGCCATAATTTGTTTTGGCTGGATGTGGCAGGCATTGTTCCGAGGTCGGTCTCTGGTTGAGCCTGTCTGGATTACATTTTCGGGTGGTGTATCATACACCATGTCTGCTCCCTGGCTCCAACCAAGGCTTTAAAGAGATTTTTAAAAAGGCTCAGAAAGTTTCTTGGATATCAAACAGCTCTTATAAAAATAACATTTTTATGACTTAAAATGTAAATGAATAAGAAACATATGGATTAAATTTCCTTTGAAATGCCCAAGGGTTTAAAAACTGAAGGGAAGAACACTTGCAAAATGAGTTAAATTGGGTTTTGCCAAAAGTAAAACACTTGAATAATGGTTTGGGATATTTTGCTGATCTCTAGGTGCTCATGGGCTCTCCATTCCCTGTTAGAAAATTATTTAGATTTTAAAATTTAGGTCATCCAATAAAATGTACTTAGACCAAGTTTAATACATATTTGCCTTGATAGTTAAAGAACTGACATGAGAAAGTCAATTTAAGATCGAGGGTACTTCATACGTGCCTACTTCTTCAGTACCTTGCAATTTCTTCCTCTAGATGTGATGTTTGGTTCCTGTGTGAAAGTTGCTCCAGAGAATTCAGACTATGCTGGGCAAAGATTGATAGTACCTGTCAACCAAGCCCAGATTAACTCCTTTCTCTTACTTTCCCTTCTCTGTCATTTTCTCCAATAGTTGCCTACTCTTCTATCTTAGGTCTGTTTCCATAGAAGCAGAGACTGAGAAAGGGGATCCTCATGTAAGTGATTTATTGAGGAAGTGCTCTCAGGAGAAATGTGGAAGGAAGTGAGGGAAACAGAAGGAAGGAGCAGCTCAGCAAAGTTGCAGTTTCAGTTGAAGTCTAGCCTTTAACTGGTTCCATAGGGAATCAAAAGGCATGGGAGGCTCCACAGATTGGCTTACCTTGAGGCACCGAGAAAAGCGTATCAGTCAGTCATCAGCTATCCGCTCCCCCAGAGGAAAAGGGAAATCTTCCTGGCACCTGGGAGAGGGACGGCTCCAGCTCCATGCTGAGGACAATCCGTGAGGGCATTTCTCCAGACAAGAGTATAAGGGTAAATCTTAGCAGACAATACCAATATCTAGTGGTTGGGAAATAGATTCAGGGGGCGTTAGAAGCAGACCTGTGTGTGGAATTAACAGTGTCCCTGCATACTTCTTCCAAAACCTTGATGACATCATTAATCCTTCCCTCTTCTGGTTCTCTCATCTTTAATCAGAGGTTGAATTCTTTCCATTTTATATTTTACAGGATTTTAAAACATTTTTTTTGCATTCATTTTCCTTGAATTTTTCCTATTGCAGTCATGTTAGTCTAGGCTTCCTCATCTAAAGCTGGGTTCCACTATCTTGGTCCTAACTGAATTCTGTCTTTAGAATATTCCCTAACCCAGATGATCCTACACATTGCTAGATTACTATGCTCCTCTGAACATCACTTTAAAGTATTTAAGAATCAATTGTAACATGTAAATATGAGGTGTGATCAAAACATTTGGTGGATGTTTTATATTCTATAACTTTATTTCAGCAAAAGCAACATTGACATTAATATCCCTCAAAATATTCTCACTGCAAACACACTATGCCATCATTCTTGTCACTTTCTGACGCAGTTCTGGAAGTCATCTTTCATCAGTGACTTCAGTTGTGTGGTGTGGCTGCCTCCATCTCTTTAAATACTTCAAAATGCTTACCTTTCATGATCATTTGACTTTGGGGAAGACCAGTAGTTGCATGGTGGCAGATCTGGTGAATAAGGTAGGTGAGGACACATTGGTGATATTTTGATGAGCCTGCCTTTTCCTTTGAAGCTAGTTGGCAGCACCATTTACCCTATCTTTGATCATATGTAATAAGACACAAGAGGACTTCCAGACCTGCTTCAGAAGTAGCACAAATGATGGGATTAGAGTATTTGAAAGAGAGAGTATTTTGAGGGAGATTAAGGTAATATGTCTTTCAATGTAATAAGTTTTTTTAAAAATGTAAACATTTGCCAAGTACTTGACAAATCTCTGTATATATAAAAACTTTTTTTCTTTTTTATAAGATTAAGAATACCTTGGAATTGTAATATTCTCTTTGGAGTCCCACTAAATACCAACATATTAAAATATTAATTATTAAAATAATGAAAAATTGCTATATCTAATATAACTTACATATAAAAGAAAAGAAAATAATTAGAACTATATTAAGAGAATATATCAATTAGTTAAAAATTTAAAGTGTGACTGTTTAAAATGATGAGATCAGGACCTGATAAAAGTGCTCAATAAATATTGGCAAATATTATCACTGTTATAAGTTTTATAACTGGCCTCTCCACTTATTCTTTTCTCATCCTCCAATAATTGTTTTACACACAGAAGCCAGAGGTGCCATGTTTAAATGGAGAGCATTATTGTACTGCCTTGTTTGTATCTCTTCTCAGTGTATTTACAATGAAATTCAATCTTTGCCTCCACATATAAGGCATAGCACAATCTTCCTGCCCATGTCTCCAATCTCTTCTCCAGCCAATGACTTGCATGTAATTCTAGAATTTGAGCTTTCCAACCTCAAGATCTTTGCCTCTACTGTTTCTTCTGCCTGGAAAGGTGTCCTCCTCTCACCCACTTCCCTGCCTGGCTTCATGTTTAAGTCTCAGATTATGGTTTAACTTCTCAGAGAGCCTTTTCCTAATTACCTTGTTGATTCAATGAGGTTTTTTTTTTTTTTTTGAGTACTTATTCTGTACCAGGCACTATTTTAGTCCCAGACAAAAGGATAAAAGTCATAGTAATACAAAGGTAATCTATCATCATAGAACTTATTTGTGAATACAGAGAAAAACCCAATGATGCTAATTATATGCATGGCCACATGTGTTTGTGTGCATGTATATATGAGAAAATAAAAGTTAGAAGATGGAAAGGGTGCTGGAGTAGAATAATTGCTGTTTTTAATAGAGTTGTCAGAAAAGGATTCTTTTAAAAAGTGATCTGTATTTGAGCAATGACCTGAAATAATCTCACACCACAGTATAGTGTGCATTTAGGCCTTCTGTGTTTTTCCTTCTATAGCTATTTATTAAAACTGATGATTATTGGGCTGGGGATTTAGCTCAGTGGTTCTGCCACCCGCCTCACAAGCCCAAGGACCTGAGTTCGACCCCCGGTACCAAAATAAATAAATAAATAAAACTGATGATTATTTATAACATTTCCTGTTTTTGCTGTGGGATTGTAAATTTAATGAGGATAGAATCATGTCTGTCTTGTTCACTATTCTGTTTCCAGAATGTAACACTGCACCTGATGCATTAAAAAGTACTCTGTACAGTATATTTATTCAATGAATATGTGAAGTTGTTCTTGACTACTGAAGCAAAAACCAGAAATTAGAAAATTACTCTTGCATGCAACCTATTATATCAGAGCGAAATGAAATGCTATGTATGAGTGCACATTTTACGGTAACAAAACTTAAAAGGGCAAAATTAGTTGTAATGAACTAAATTGCAATACTGCTGCAAATAGTTTTAGGAAAGAGATGGAGCATAGGTAAAAGACATGCTGATGACTACCTCAGCACGACTGTGTACCCTATCATGTCGTAAGAGAGCAAAAGCAGAGCCACGTTCCAACTCTTAGTCTCCATCTCTGTATCTAGCCACCTCCTCCCTCACATCATAAAAGCAAAGAAGCACCCACCAAATCATTCAGCTCTCCCTCACTTTCCCCATGAATGTCTAACATACTGAGAAGATGAAGAATGAGTGTGCACAATGCTTCACTAAGACGCTTTTTGGTGTGTAGATGGGAATGAAATCAATCAAATTGCTTGTTAATGGTTGAGTAATTAGTCACAACAAAACTGCACTTTTGTGGAAAATTACCCATTGATCTGGCATCTCTGTCCTGGGGCTTGTCTCGGCCCTCTAGCTGAGCTCCACTCAACCAGGAGGACTTCTGCCCAAAAGCACCTTTTCATACAGAGACCACACAATTTTCGCTTCAAACCATACTTTGGGTCCTGGAACCTCAGAACTCTTTGCCCAAACAGCCTTGGTTTGACTTCCTAGGCTTGAGCAGACTCCACCAGAAATTATTTCCAAAGAGCAGATTGCAAAGCTGACATGGCTAGCCTGAGACCTAAGGAAAGGGGACCAAATGTTGGCTCTGAGGTTAGTACCGAACTCAGTGGCTATGGTGTGCATGTTCATGAGGTCCCTTGGAGTGCAGAATAGAGCTCATTGATAAGAGGAAGGTGAGCTACGGTTGGAAATCCAAGGCCTAGGGGTAAGGGCATTGACTTTCAATATTTCCATCTTGTGTCTCAGGACTCTGATGAATTTAGTAATTCTGAGTTTGAATCTGGCCTTCTAACCCTAAGAGTGAGATGAAAGCAGAGGTAGTGGATTGGAGACACCTTCTGGGTAGGGGTGGCTTGGCTAGGATTGATTGCATCACTGTTTCTGATATGTGAATGTCTCTGTCTGTATGCTTGCCTGGGAACTAAATGTTAGAGCCAAGCCTGTTACTTCCCAATTCAGAACACAAGGCTAATTGTTTCTCCATTTCTAAACTTGTCCTAGACAAAGAGGAGACATGCTGTGCAGATTGGTAGTAACTTAATCCATGGGAGCTATAGATTTAGGATGAAAAATGTGAAGCATACTCAAGACTTGAAAATCCCAGAGGAAGATCATTGTCCATACTGCCCTCCTGCTGAAGAGTGCTACCCATCAAGGCTCCTGGCACTGTCATACTCAGTTTTTGGAGAGTGAGGTGCAGGACATTTGCCGTGAAGTTATCTCTTTATTCCTACTGGAAACTCACTTTATCTTAAAAAGTTTTTCATTAACACATATTAATTGTCCATGTTAAAGAAGTTCAATGTGCCATTTCCACACAGGCACAAAAGGTGATCAAATGAAACCTTCCTTTTTGCACAACCTCCTCCCATACTCGGCCCAATCTCCTGTAATTACTTTTCTATTTTCAGGTCAACTTTTTAAAAAATCTTCCACAAATGAGAGAGAACATGTGGCACTTGTCTTTCTGAGTCTAATTTATTTCACTTATGGTGAGTCTTCCAATTCCATCAATTTTGCTGTAAATGACAGAATTTCATTCATTTGTATGACAGAAAAATAAAACACAATTTTTATTCATGTGTTGATGGGCACTTAGGCTGATCCCATCTTGTAGCTATGGTGAATGCTGCCACAATAAACATGGCCCTGCTGTGGCCAAAGCATCGCTGGTGTAGATGTGTCTTCATACTACTCTAAATTCCAACTCAGTGATTGTCAGTGGATATCTTTTTTGCATGCTGATTTCATTTCCTTTGGATATTTACCCAGAAGTGGGGTACTTGAATGATATAATAGATCTCTTTTTAGGTTTTTGAGAAATCTCCATACTGTTCTCCGTAGTGGTTGTACTAATTTACATTCCCGCCAATAGCATTACTTAATAGCCTTACTAGAATTTGCTGGGTTTAAGAGTAACATATTTTAAATAGGGTGAGACACTCTCTCACTGTAGTTTTGCTTAGCATTTCCATCATGGCTAATGATACTGAACATTTTCTTCTATATTTTTTGGCTATTTGAGAAGTGTTTGTTCTAATCATCTGCACATTTATTACTCAGGCTATTTATTTTTTAAAAGTTTTATGATTTTCTCATATATTCTGAATATTAAACCTCTGTCAGATGAATAGTTGCCAAATATTTTCTTGCATTCTGTATGCTGTTTTTTCACTCTGTTGATTCCTTCCTTTGTTGTGCCAAGTGTTGTAGTTTCACATAATCCCATTTGTCACTTTTTACTTTTGTTTCCTATCCAGAAAATCATTGCCTGTACAATTACTCTTGAAATGTTTTTCATATGCTTCATGTAGTAGTTTCAGGTCATACATTTAGGTCTTTGATTGATCTTGAGTTGATTTTTGTGCATACAGTAAGAGAGAGGGGACAAATGTCAGCCTTTAGTATGAGGATATCCAGTTTTCCAAGCACCGTGTATTGAAAGGCTGTCCTTTTCTCAGTGTATGTCAAGAATAAGTTGTTTGTATGTGCATGGGTTTACTCTAATACACTAGATCTCTATTCTATTCAATTAGTTGTTTTCATGCCTAATACCATGCCGTTCTTATCATTATTACCTACACTATGTCTTTTTTCCTTTTCGCTCAAGGTGGCTTTAGCTATTCATGCTTTTTTTTTCCTTTCAATCTAACTTTTACGATTTTTTCTTCTAGTTTTGTGAAGAATGGCATTGGTACTTTGATATTGCACTGAATTTCTAAATTACTCTGGGTATTATGGACATTTTAACAATATTGGTTCTTCCAATCCATGGACATGGAGGTTCGTGCAAATCGTTTTGTATGTCTTCCTCAATTTCTTTCATAAATATTTAGTAATTTTCATTCCAGATGTCTTTCACTTAATTAGTTATTTATTTCAAGTCATTCTATTTTTTGTAGCTAAATAAATGTAGCTCATAAATGAAATTGCTCTCAAGCTTTCTTTCTCAGCAAATTCACTATTGTTGTATTGAAAAGCTACTGATATTTGTATATTGATTTTATGTCCTACTACTTTACTAAATTTATCAGTTCTAATAATCTTTTGGTGGAATCTTAGGTTTTTTTCTACATACAGAATCATATCTCAAACAGAGATTGTTTGTTTCCTCCTTTACTTGTATGGTTTTTATTTTTTTTCTTTTGACTACCTGGTCTGGGTAAAACTCCTAATACTATGTTGAATAATAGAATAAGAATGGATAACTTTGTCTTGTTCCTGATCTCGATGAAATGTTTTCAATTTCCCCCATTCAGATGATGTTAATTGTAATTTTGTCACATACAAGTTATAGCGTATGTCAGGGCATGGTCCTT